TTTTACATTGTCAACTAATAAAAATGATAAAATAATAATAAAACTAGTGTTGACAGAATTGTAAATGATCGAATTTAACTAATTTAAGTTAGGTATGTGTTTTAGATGTACAGGTAATAAAATATGGGAGCTTGTACCTGCAATGTCATAAGTCATAAGTTAGAGATAAATGAAACCAACTATTTGTTTTCCTATATTTATACTGAAATTCCAGTTTTTGGATATTGCAGTAACATAATTATTTTGACTCGATAAGATAAACATGTCATTTTGTACGTATGGTAAATGACAACAATTAACTATCACCAATGTTTACCTTGTAGTTTTCTCATACGAATCGACGTGTCACACCTTTTTTTTTTGTCAGCGATTTGAGCGTAAAAAACGCGCGACAAGCGTAAAAATGATGCGACACCTCGATTCGTATGAGAATTTCGCAAAAAATACAACTTGGGTGTAATTTATTATTTAATTTATTAATTTATAATTTAAGATAATGTTCTAAAAATAAGATGAATAAATCCAGATTTTGAAAATTGAAAAAAAATCTTCATTTGGTCATCACACTAAGTACGCATATACTAGTTATCACAACCATTTCAGAAATACCCTGTATGGGCGTATATCAATTCCGCCGATTTTATATCGATTCCGCCGGCTATTGACTCCGCCGACTACTGTTTAAAATATCTACATATCGATTCCGCCGGCTACTGTTAATATTATTTACATATTAATTCCGCCGGCTACTGTTTATCCCACCCTTGTAATTTGTTAATGTATTTTTAAAATTACAGTCCTACATAATATACAAGACTATACAATTCAGACTATAGTACATATTACCTATGTACATTTTAATATTTTATCATTTATTCACACATTTTAATTTTTAATTATACAATTATTACTATTATCATTTTATACATTTTAATATTTTATAATATATTCACATACCTACACGAATTAATTAGAATATAAATTTTATTTTTGAATTATACAATTAGGTATTATTTTTTTATTTGTATTATGTACTATATAAAATACATATACAAGGGGGGGGGGGGTAAACAGTGTCCGGCGGAATCAATATGTAAATAATATTAACAGTAGCCGGCGGAAACGATATGTAGATATTTTAAACAGTAGCCGGCGGAATTGATACAAACCTTTTTTCTAAWCAGGTAGTTTCGGCGGAATCAATAATTCCCCCCCTGTATATCTACACGTCGCTGTCAATAAAACACACACGAATGAAAAAAAGTCAGGGTTCAGGTAGCTGGAAACCCTAGATACTATTATTATTAATTGTTATTGTTATAATAAATTATTATAATATTACAATAAAAACCAATCATAACAAAATAAATAACATAATTATGAAATCACTTTCGTGAATGTGTTGACGAATCCGGGTTTTTCCGTTATGATATTATTTCGCGTTGTTTTCGAATATTCGTTAGAATATTTTTGTACTGCTGGAATAGACATTGATGAAGATGTAGATACATCAATGTTTCTATATTTAGAGAAATCACAATACATACCGTATTTAATGGACACAAAACAATATATTAGTGGCTTTGTAGTTGTTCGAAAAATAACAAAAATTATAAAATGTCAAGAATGTGTAGAGGTCATAAGTGAGTCAACTGTCAAGTAATACCCAAACACCATTATTGATTGATTTAAAAACTAGAGGCGGTCTAATCAGACCCAATGATGATGTAATGGAACTTTGTCGTATAGGTAAAAATGTATTTCAAATCCATCATCATACTTTTCAAATTCTAATAATGCAACAAAAACGTTTATTATTAAGGCCTTTTCACGGATTAATATAAGCAAGTACTTTTTAAAATTATCAAAATCCGATAAATAATCATCTTATTCAAATAATAAAATTAATCTTTAACAATTATTTTACTATTCGTATACATCATTTAAATAAAACAATTAATCAACTAATAGCCGTATCCYACCGCTGCCACCAAAAATGTTATGGATGTGCACTTAGGCTACTTAGCAACTCCGCAACAAATACAAATAACGAGACAAAATTACTTTAGCTCAAAATTATATTCTTTATTTAATTGTTATACTGTTTTAATAAAAGGTATACTCTGAAATGGTCTATAATAATGGTAATGCATTAATGCATTAGGTACTCAACTGCTACGTGGCGAGTCTCCGCATAGGTACGAGTTGGTCGTCCCTTCAAAACTCAAAAGGGTTTATTCAGCAGATTCCTTAGACCAGTCGTATGGAGAGGGAGTCTTACTCGCCTGTTGTCACACAACACGTATCAATTTRCAATATATTTAATTATTTTACCGCTAAATACATTAATACTACAACATATATAGAATAATGTTACAAACAGTATATTCAGTTGTTCTTAAGAATAATAACACAAATAAAAATTAGTAGTCTAAAAATGTACGATATATTTTATTATTAAATATGAAATATTTAAAAATATATGAAAAAATATGAAAAAATTTAAAAATCAACCCCCCCCCCTCCCGAAATTCAGGTCTAAATACGCCAGTGACGCCACTGGCTTCTCCAAAAGTTTTTGAATAAGATTATCGTTTGTAAGGTTAGTGTTGTTGGTGGTTGAAGGCTGTTGGATTGGTGTCATTTTTGGGTTGTAATTGACTTGTTTACTGGTTTTAGATGAGTTTAATGTAGATGTTTTCGACACTACGTAGTTTAGTTTGTTGTGATTTGCGATCTAATTATATCGATAATATGATATTGTTGTGTATTACGAAATATATATACATTATCAATAGCGGCGACTTAGCGGTTCGAGTTTGATTTTTATGTAAAACTGTATTGCTATCGTGACTTGTGAGCTATAAATGTGGAGCACGATAATTAAATACACTACGTGTGGTTTCAACGGTGTCCAAACACGTATAAATAAACACGTCTATAATATTTATATTGGTATACATAGATTGAAATTAATTCAAATATTTGAAAAATTGTATTGTGTAAGTACCTTAACAGTTAACAACGAATAAATATCCAATTTCACCTTTTTTACACGAAATATCTACAAACAAAACTATACTGTGTACCTACGTCCTACACTTATATTTTTAAGTTGCAAGACGGTTAGAGTTTTCCATACGTGTTGTTACTATTTTTCCAGAAAACCTTATAAAAATAAAAATCAATTATAATTAAAAAAAATGTATTAATATTAAAAATCACTTTAAACCCTTGTTATAGGTTAGGACAAAAATGGAAGAAAGTAAATCATTTTCAGTAGATCAAACTCGAACTGATTATGATTCGGGCTACTCTTGTACATCAACCCAATCTAAATACAGGTAAATTTAAGTATTTTTTATATACGGTGGGCTATATGAACAACTCTCTATTGTGTATATCTTCTATATTGTATAATATATACTTTCAATTTTCATTGTCCCTTATCCACTCTAATATATTATATTAACTTCGTCTATTCGTATTTTTTAAATTTAATCCTTACAAAATTACAGTTTACAATAAATTATATTAAAGTGTAACATGTAGTTTTTTATATTGTATGAAGTTATAATATAAATTAAATTGTCACAGTACTAAATCACAGCTTCAAGAACCATCCACGGAATTAAGCTTTGAAGAACAGAGTTCGACTATATTGACAACTGATAAAGAAAGGTAAATTATTAAATCATTATACATATACATATATATATAATATATAAGTATATGATTGTAAATAATAACTAATAAGGTGCTGTAATTTAGTTGTCAAACTATTATGAAAGAAAAATTGATATTTAATGCATATGCTTTAACATCTACATCTACATYTATTTTCTAACTAAATTCTAATTAAACACAAACATTCCTAATAACAGACTCCATTAATTTACTTATCCTTCATCATAGCCTATAGGCGTGCCGCGTGCGCAGCCTTGCTGACAGGGGGGGGGGGCAGAATGTATATATTATATATAGTTTATTATATATACTATATAATTTATAGTTGAATATTATTTTGGTTATTAGTATTATTGCAATATTGCCGCATATCTATTAACACACATTATCAACGCGGTATATAGCTTGTGGCTTGAATAAAGTTGGACCTTTGACAACACAAAATTATCGTGCACTGTATACTCAATATTTACAATATATTATTCATTGACTCATTGTAATATAAAATTATATTATATTATTAAAATGCTTTTTTTTAAAGCTATATTTGGGAGAAAAAAGTAGCTCGCAGGAGGGGCAGCTGCCCACTCTGCCCCGTTCGTGCGCACGCCTATGTCCTTCATATACATATCATCTTTGAAACATATTTAATTGGAATAGAATACAATATTAATAATTAATTACAATTCACTGAATGAGTCTATAAAATATTTAGAAAAAACGATAGGTAAATATACCTAATGTTTATCTTTTTTTTACATCTAGGGAAATTTCAACTGTAAAATCCACATCTACCGATCAATCAAGCCAAAATATATTAAGAGGGTTAAACACTAATCAAAAACCAAGTACTACTTGTTCAAAATCTAAACAGAAAAATCCAACAACATATAAACCACAAACAAACCAATTATGCATCAATGGTATGAACTAAATTATAATTAAAAACATATATTTATCAAAATTAAGAATTTTATTGAATTTTCACATCCAGCTTCTACATCAAAAATGGAATCTGATGATTTAAAGAAAGTTAATAATGACATTAAAGTAGACCACAGTCAAGAAAATATGGCGTATTTGCAATTATCTTACTTATGTCAATCATATCCTGATATAAATCAAACAAACACAACTTCAAATCCTACAAATACATTAACTATTATAGGTAATCTCTCAATTTTATTCTTTTGTTATAAAAAAAAATTATAAAAGTTAATACTACTAAATAAGTAAATAACTTACAAATAAAGGATAACTTTAACAAATAATTTAAAATCTGATTTTTATATAACATTTTAGATTCTGAGCGGAGCGATGAATGTATTGATTTTACCATGATGTACCTATGTTCTTTTTTTTGCTTATTGTTTTTTTTACTCATTCGATCAGAAATTGAATCTAGTTAGTACTTTGGAGGGTCAAAAGTAAAAAATTCTCAATATTTTTCTTAATAATCGGAATAAACAAACTAAAAATTAAGGGGAAAACGGAAAATTTTACGCACAATCAGTTTTTCGACAAAATCGATTTTGGTTTTTGATGTAACTTTAAAACAAATGACCATAGGTACATGAAATTTTCACTGAATGTTGATATAAATATATTCTATCCGCCATGCAATTTTCAAAAAATGTTGACTTAAGTTGAACTATTTATAGGCATATGCAATTTTCGATCATTATTAGTTTTTTTTWAAATTAATATCGATAAAAACCGATAAAAATGTTGGGTAGATAAGCTTGAAAATTTAATGCAAGGCCAGGCCACTAACATATTGTTATAATAGCAGTTGAAAAATAAAATAAATTCATAGTTACAATTTTTTTTTTATAAACATTCAAAGTTTGAATTTTGACACAATACGTAAAAATCACAAAAATTCGCAAATTATTTTAAGCTAGAAATTCATAAAAAACTTTTCTTTTAAATCTAAGATTTGAAAATTTAATACAAGATTCCTTACAAGTTTATCAATCTTTATCACAAAAAAAATGTCCACAGAAATTAAAATTAAATTTTTATGAGCGTTTGAAATTTAAATTTTTACAACATTGAATTTTCACTGGATTTCACTTTTAGCGATTTTCTTATTTTGGTGTAATTCTAAAACAAATGACCGCAGATACTCTTGAATATTTCATTGAATGTTTATATTGACACTTTATATATTTAATAAAATTTTCAAAATATTTTGATTTGTTTTGAGCTGTTAATTGGCATTTTAATTTTTCGACTTTTTTAGTTTTTTTTTTTTCTATAAATATCAATAAAAATGTATTTGTTGGGTAGGAAAGCTTGAAAATGTAATACAAGGCTCCTAACACATAGTTACGATAGCATTTGAAAAATATTAAAAATACATTGTCACGATTTTTTTTTTATAAGCATTTAAAGTTCAAATTTTGACGACATACGTACAAATCACGAAAATTTACTAAGTATTTTAATCTATAGAAGTTCACAAAAATTTTTCTTTTTAAATCTAAGATTTGATGTAGATATATTGATGTTGATGTTTGAACTCATATTGGAACCAAAACTAAATTTAATCACAATTTTTTAATTTTTTTATAAACATTTTAAGTTAAATTTAGACAAAATTATTCATTCAAACATTAAATAATAGTTTTAGTTATTTTATTGTAATTTAAGAATATTATTTGTGGGACAATCTTAAAACTTTTCAAGTATTATCTATCTATTATATTTTATACATACCTACAATGGTATTTTCAAATGCTATGTTTATTACCACAATATTACTTCAACCTACTATATATTATTAATATYTAATATTTATAGTAAAATAAATTATTTTAATAATACCTAATTATATTATAATCATGAAATTATAAGAAGGTGCTTGGCAATATACACTGACTAAATTTTTCGCTCAACAATTTACTCAGATTTGTCATTGAGTTAAAATTAAACCCACTCAATACCCACTACAGAGTAGTACCCACGCTTGCCTAAATTTTTAAATATACACATTTGCATTATACTTATTAGTTATTAATAAAAGTATAAATGTTTTATTTACAAATTTACAATTATAATATAATGTAAATCTTAAGTGAAGAATTAGTTTTTGATTTTCAATATTTACTGAATGAGAATTTAAAAAAAAATATTTAATTTTTTACAGATACTGTTTTAAAGGTATTAAAAGACCAAGACATACAATTCAATGAAACAATCGAGTCAAATGATGTTCAAAATGATTCATTTGGTGTTGTTGTGTCTATGACTGATGGTCTAATTATTGATATATCAAATAGTATTAATAAAAGTATGGGTTATCCAAAAGATATGTGGAAAAATCGATCATTTATTGATTTTATTCATCCCAATGATCGGATGACATTTGTCAATCATATAACATCTATTCTTACAGATCCTTGCATGATTACTACAGCAGGTATGTTAAAAAAAACATTAAAATAAATATATATTAACAGCATATCAATTATATCATGAAGACACTAAAATTATTTTTTTAATGGTCATTTATCAGTTTAATATTTCTAGTTATAGTAAGTAACTACTTAATATAAAACAGGTGTATGTATTGTATATTGTGTATTGTGTAAGAATAATGTAGTTGTGTTRAGTTTTGGAATTTGGGTTAACGTATAGCATATGCTGTTTAAGTGTTTATAGCAATTATATTATTTAGATACAATAATGAGAGCTTTGACAGTTTCATGTATCTGGTTATATGTATTTAAACTAAAATTAAGTTGGAAATTTAGAAAAATTTTCAAAGGTGTTACTATAAAGTAATATTTAAATAATATTCTTACAAAATTTAAAATTGCTATTCACAAATTATTAAGCGATTATAGACAGTATCAACAAAAGTAAAGTTTATTTGGAAAACAGGGCTGGCATTATACATATATATTTTACAAATATACCTATATAATTTATGTATTCTTACCTACGTATAAATATTGTGATGTATATATTTTATTACTTATTAAACGTTGTATATACTTACAGAGTCTGTGGAGTAACCTATTGTACCTAGGCTGTAGCCAATGTTGCTCAATAAAAAAATGTTGATTTAATATTACTTTAATTTAAAAAAAATTGTGTCAACAAATGTAAGTTTAGTATCTATATTTAATTTGTCACATTATAATATTATAATACTTATGTAAAGTTATGGTTTTACTCATATATATTCAAGTAATGAAGTATGTTATAATAAATCAGTAAACAATATTCCTTATAGTCTATATTTCTTTTTAGCAACAATACAAAGTACTATAAAATAGTTCAATGGGTCTATCAATGGGTTATATGGGTAAATCTGTTGTTAATATTTTATATACATAAGTACACATCAAAACATCATGTATTACTGTGTTAGTATTTAGTCACAGACTATAATAATTGAGATCATCTGAAATTTATAATATGAAAACTCATGAAGCGAATGTACCTAAATGCCTGTATATATATTTTAACAATTACAGTGCAATATCTAGGGGGTGGGCTTTTGGGCTTAAGCCCCTCCCCCCCTCCTGAAATCTCAGGTGAAATATTTTATAAGTAATGCGTTATGGGTTCATATCATACTAATAATGTTGACTAGTGAGCTTAGATTTAAAATTGTGACAATTTACATTGATATATTAAATGCATAATGAATCAAATAGTATGTATATTGTATATATATATTTAATATATGTTTTTAAATTATTTCCTATTGTTCTACAGAGTTAAGTATGAATGTCCAAGCCCCCCCTCCCTAACAATTCTTGGGCACGGAACTGAAGTATTACCTATGTAATGCTAATGACATGTAGTCAAATCATTACGAATGCATACATTKTACCTATCCAAACTTAGTGCGACATTATCGTTATTAATTTAATTTCATAAAATAACTCAATTATTATTAATTAGTTTTTTTATGTTATTAAATGGAATGATCTAGCATTGATCAATATTACAATATATATGCTTTAATGCTTACAACATTATAATTGGTACTAACTGTTATGTTTATGTTATAAATTTAATTAAAAAAATACAATCATTTGTTTCCCTATTCCTATGGTAAAAAAAAAAAACACTCGTCTTTATTTTCTATAATTATTAATATACAGGTATGTATGAAATTTACATAAATAAACTATTAAAAACAAATATTTAGATGGTGCATCTGCAGTAACTTATTTGAGACCCAAGACCAATGATGGATTTTACTGTAATATGGGTTTTTCAATTTCTGAAACCGAAAATTACTATAAAGTCTGTAAGCTTATGATAACATTCAAAGATTTATCACAAGTGTCAACGACACCAAGTTTACCCCAATTAGTTCTAGTTGTTAAAGCACAGCTAATTCGCTCAGCATACACATGTATGTAAATATAATATCTGTTATATCTAACATAATATATTCATAAGAAATAAAACAAATAGAAAATATTATTTTCTTTTATATGTAGGTCCTGAAGAAAAAATAGAAAATCCCACTCAATTTATCACTAAGCATAATGCGTTTTTTGAATGGTGTTATGCTGATAAATCAATTACCTCATACTTTGGATATCTACCACAAAATTTTATTGGGAAATCAATTTTTGACTATTACTATATTGAGGACCTAACAACTATTAAAGAAATCCACGCAAATTGTAAATTTAAAATTTTTTACTCCAAAATTTCCTGTTAAGTATATTATACAATTTATTAATATCGTTTATTTTTTTAGTGATTAAAGCTAAGAATATATCACTGAAAGGAAACCCTTATCGATTTAAATGCCAAAATGGTGATTTTGCATTAGTACAAACAGAATGGTCAACTTTTGTAAATCCTTGGTCTGGTCGAGTAGAATTTGTGATTGGTAAACACAAAGTCATTCAGGTAATTTTAAAATAATCATAGGTAATATTCTTGAATATAATAATGAATAAATTATTATTTAAGGGTCCTATTAATCCTGACGTCACAACTCTGGCTGATAATACTATACCGGAAGATATAGAGACTAAAGAGGAATATAGCTTAAATGAAACACCAACAAATTTTGAGAGAACGACAAATGAAGTAATTATAACTTTCTATTAACATTTTAAAAATAGTACCCGCTTATCAATTATTAATTATTATGTGACAAAATGTAAAAGTGAATTGTAAATTATTATTAATTAAAAAAAAAAAAAAAATTGTAAATAAACATGGGTACATCATGCATAATAATATATTATGTATATTGTATGCATATCTCATAGATAACAAAAGGCCAGAACTTTGAAAATTGATTATAGTATATTCTATAACTCTATATAAATTACTATTTTTTCTCTTGCCAATCGTTGCCAATAAAACTTTGATGACATTTCAAGGTTTTTAATTTAATAAAATAAAAATTGTGTACCTACAAAAATATAAAATGTGAGGTAAAATATATTTCAAACGCAAATTTTTATTAAATTATTGTAATATAGAACAAAGAAGTTACTAAAATTCCATATGAAACAAATCAACTAATGGAAAACAATTCAAAAAAACAAATATCAATGGAATATAAAGATTTGACAGAATGTATGAATTGCTTTGCACATCCATCAATTCAAGTTCATCTTAATAACGAAGTATTACCAGAATTATCTGGAAATTATTCTGTAAGTTTTCATAATACTACTATATTACTGAATATTATTAAATTGTTCAATACTGATTATTTTTCAATATATTTTTAGGACCTCGACTCTCCATCTTTATCTCAACAACACAACTATGAGAGTAAATCTAGTTCCGATACACTGTTAAGTTATACTGAACTTAATTATAATGACAACATACAAAGGTATACTTTATATTGAAATATATTATTAATACCTATTATTTATATTTAATTGTACCTATATTAATCGTATACAGATATTATCTCCTATCTGTAACGTGTAGGTACTAGGTAGAATTAAAATATACTTTACTGTAGTAAACTAGTAATAGAGAGTTTTTGCACAACACCGGTTAAAAACTACGTTAACGTTATTTACCAAAACATATTTGTGCGCATGCGCTCCAAATATCGGTTCGGTTATTTGATAATCGGTTATTTTTAATCATTTAACGGGTGCGATAAATTAATTTATCGTGTTAAATGATCGGCTAAAAAATACACGGATTATCAAAAGTTTATAAATATTCTTATAATGTCTTTGGTAAAGTAATGACCAGTGACCACATTTAATTTTATTAAATTAAAAAATTAAAGTAGTATAGTATGAACTCCTCAAGTAAAAAGGAACGTTTAAGAGTCAGTACGGAAGATGACTTAAGTCTTTTACGGGAAGTCTTATGCCATAATCCGTATAATGATTCTGGACAATGGTCCATCATTCAAAAAAAATATTATTCTGTGGTCAAATAAACAATTTACTCTTCGAGCGATAAAATAACACGTTGAGTATTTGTTGAAAATTTGGGCAAAAGAAGACCGTGCTAATTTGAAAAAGTAATTCATAATCATATTTATAGACGCAGTAAGGAGGGGGGCGATTAAGCGATATTTTTTTAATAGATTAAATAGATTTTACTTGAAGCTTGTTAAAATTATTGAGACCATTTATTAACAACCAATAAAATAATTTATTGATGTTTATTTATAACACGTCTATTGTAGCTTATCAGTTACAATTTATAATATTCATAGTGAATAAAAATATAAATGTATAAATAAAAATGTGAACAACACGTAATTAAATAATTACAACATTGTAATGATAAATATTTATTTAAATATGATATCGACTATCGACATACCGACATACCGTATTTATATGGGTAGGTACGACATTTACGGTAATGCAAAAACCATAGTTTTAGTTATTATGCTATTTCTCATTTAACGGAACGTTATTTTTACCGTAAAGTTTAGCGTATCTTTGCAAAAACTCTCTAATATGTTATCTCATCTAACGTTATCGTGATACATAGCTACTGGCTAAGTATCAGTGTGTCAGCCTGTACTGTATTGAGTATTCAGTCTTCCGTCAACTACTGTTCAGATAGTATGTGTGTAGTGTGTGCGATAGTGTGTGCCAGTACTGTATCAATATTCAATCCCCTAAGTGTTTTAAATTGTAATTGTAAATTTTAATTTGATGTAAAGTATTTTAAATCTCGTGCTCCTTTAAATCACGACATTCTTTTATCAATAATCGACTAACCTCATATTGGTTCTCTTCTTACAACTTCGGAAGTGGAATTAGGTCATTAAGATTCGAATTCAAACAACTGATCTACNGCCTTTCTTTTTTAAGTTAATTACAATAAATTATTCATTTTAACAGTTGATATGTTAATTCTATTTACATATCAATCGTTTTTAATTATCTTAATTAAATAATATTAGGTATATTATATTTCACGAGTTGCTATCGATAAAACTATCGATGGAAACAAAATAACAATAAAACGTAGAAAAAAAAATGCTCGAAAAAAAAAAACATAGATCAAAAACGGTACAAGGAAACTACAACAGGGTTGGTCCCCATCTCCAAAAAAAATGAAATGTAATTCTAAAATAATGCGCATAATGAGTATCATTCCGAGTCAAATGAGTCAACACTTCAACAGTTTCAAACGATTTCGAAAACGTGGATTTCACACCTATAAAAATGACGTCACAAGAAGTAAGGAAAGTTATTTTTGGATCGGAAAATATTGGTAATGATAATGATGGTTGTGTAGTCTTCAGCAATCGTTAAAAGCAGCTGATGCTTAGGCAACAATTCTGCCAACTATCGTACTCGAAAACACWAAATATAAGAAATCTTCAGATGACACTGCTTCGCCAACACCGATAATCATTGATTCAAATATTGATATCAGTTGTAGTACTGCGGCAATTTTAGTGTGGTGGTTAGGAAGGTTGAGGTTAGGGACCTTAAAACTAATTTGACAATCAACAGCTAAAATTATTGATAAAAGACTAATTATTTTATTATGTAAGAAATCACATGAGAAATAATTGCAACGTTAACTAGTACATGAATAGGTTATTAATTTTATGTAAAAAGACAAAATTGAAAATACATGTGTTGACAGAATTCCGTGGCGAACAACAATGCGACCGTGCGAAGCGTAGAGCGTGCGTAGCTAGACTGGTTGACGGCTGCGCGTGGGGGTTACCAAATAGCCGTGACAGTAGGTGACCATAGTAAACGTTGCTCACGTAACAAAATCAACTTCTGATTAACTGCTTGTTGGAACTTGACAACACTCCATTGCGTAATGAATCTCTATTTCTTACCAATTCCGATGGATTCTATGTTATGCCGGACTTCCAYAACACCATTAAAAATTTTTCAAGCATTGAATCTAGGGCTCAAGCCAGAGACTGTCGCCAGTCATTGTATTAATTGGCTCGATTTCATCATTGGCCGGAAGCATTCAAATTAGAAATCATTCGAACAAAGTTAGTTGCGGCTGCGAGTAACTGTCTGTCTGGACGAAACTTAAKTACATGGTCTGATTTTGAAAGGCAGTTTATGTCCACATTTGTAAATTCATCCACTTCACTTGTAGAATGTATGAAATTATTATTCTCCCGTATTCAAAACAAACATGAATCTTTAGCCAAATACTTCCACGACAAAGCACGTATGTGTCGTGAGGTAAAACTATCGTTTCCTGAAACGAAGCAGCAAATCATTGAAGTCCTTCATTGTCGAGACCTATGCTTCTATTTGCTTTCTCGCGATAATTTAGATGAAGATTCTTTGCTGGCTGACATTCCATCTTTTACTACAATGAACAGTGCCTGATAAACTCATTTTAAGACTGATCCTCAACTTCCAACAAATCCCTCTGTTCGCCAATCGTCTCAAAAGTCTCAATTAACCAAAACTTCTGTTTCAACAACTTCGACCAGTAAGCTACCACCTTCAGCTAATCCAGTCAATCCATCTGCACCAGCTTAAAGATGCTTCAGTTGTTCATCACATGGTCGCTATGCTATGTCGTGTCCCAAACCAAAGCATGAGCCAGGTTCCTGTTTCAAGTGCGGTTCCACCTCACATCAGCTTCGAGGATGTCCTTCAGCAGGTACCAACATCAAGGAAGCTATAGTACTTCAGTCACCATCAGAAAATGTTAATTCTGCCTATACTATTAAGTTAGCTGTYAAGTTTCCAAGTGAGAAGATGGTTGATGTATTAGCGATCATTGATACTGGTAGTCCTGTTAGATTGTTAAGATAAATTATAGTCCCTTCTTGGTCACCACCACAAGTTCCCCCATTAGCATTATCAGGTTTAGTAGGTATAAATGGTTCAGAACTAGCTGTTTTTGGATCAAATGCTTGTAGATATTTTACCACCAGATGATGAACATCAGATTAATGTAAATATAAATATTTTACCAGATAGTACCATTAAATGTGACTTATTACTTGGTAGAAACTTTATATCACATTCCAGAGTAGTCTTAGCTATAAATAGTGGTTCTTTTGAAATTGATTTTAAGCGCTCAGATATCATACCTTTTGATGAGATTCTTAGTATAGAAATTAGTCAAGACTGTAAGAATAGCGAGTTAAATCTGAATATTGAAGAAACTTTACCTAGTCATGTTAAGAGTGAAATTAAAAATATTGTAACAGGTTCATATTTGAATAATAGTTCTCTTCCATCTGAACTTAAAATGTATGACTCACCTGAACTTAAAGATGGCAGTTTATTTTATTTTAATCCTAGAAGATTGTTTTTCTTTGAGAAAAAAAATTGCAACTAATATAAGATGATTTGTTAGCTCGAAAAATTATAAAACATTCATTCTGAGTATAATAGTCCTATTGTATTGATGAAAAAGAAATGGTGAACTTCGTTTGTGTGTAGATTACCGAGAACTTAATAAACGTATAGYTTAAGGTCGCTACCCATTGCCATTGATTGATGATAATTTAGATTCATTAAGAGGGAAAAAAATATTATAATTGCATTGATTTTAATGATGGATTTTACCATGTTAAAGTAGCAGATCAGAGTCAGAAATATACTTCTTTTACTACTCCTTTAGGTTATTTTTCATACTGACGTACGTAGGTATACCTTTTGGTATTTGCAACGGACCTAGCATATTTCAGCGATTTGTTAACAATGTCTTCCAGGATCTAATCAAACAAAAACGTATCATAGTGTATTTTGATGACATTGTCATATCAACTGAAAACATTTTCGAACACTTAAATACTCTCTCTGACGCTTATTGACGAATGTGCATCAACTTCAAATAAGGTTCAATAAACGCCAATTCCTTAAAACCGAAATAATATATTTGGGATACCAGGTTAGTGTTGAAGGGATCCTCCCTAATCCAAAAAATGTGTCTGTTATTCGTGATTATCCTATTCCAACTAATCCTAAAGATCTGCATAGTTTTCTAAGTCTTTCATCGTATTTACGATGTTCTATACATAACTTTTCTGTTATAACTAAACCATTATTTTACCTACTACGAAAAAACTTAGCATTCCATTTTGGTGTAGGCAAATTGAATGCCTTTGAACAAATTAAGAATAAGTTGATAGACCTCCCTACCTTATGTCTTTTTAATCCCATAGCTGAAACTCAATTACAATGCGATGCTTCCAGTTTAGGATTTGGATCTATCTTACTACAAGAACAATCAGACGATAAATTTCATCCAATTTTCTATTATAGTCAACGTACTACAGATGTAGAATCAAGGTACCATAGTTATGAATTAGAAATGCTCGCAATTGTAAATTCCGTTAAGAGATTCCATGTATATGTGTATGGCATTAAATTTAAAATAATAACTGATTGTAATAGTATTACGTTAACTCTTAAAAAGAAGGACATAAACCCCCGAATCGCTAGATGGGCTTTGTTCTTACAGAGTTATGATTATGATAAGAAATTGAACATAGAATAGGTTCACAATGATGCCTTAAGTCGAAACCACATACTAGTACTAAAAGGGTGTACTTTTAGCCAAATCTTGTCCACTAAACAAATATTTGATCTAAAAATAAAAATAATTGCTGAGGACTTAGAAAATTGTRAACACCCATTAAATGAGTTGCGTAATGGTCTAGTCTACAGAAAAATTAAAGATAAACTCTTATTTTATGTCCCTTCAGAGATGCTAGATAATGTCATAAGAACAAGTCATGATGATATGGATCATATTAAAAGTATTGATCGTATAGCGGAATTAATTTAAAGAGTGTATTGGTTTTCAAAATTGAAAAAATATGTCAAAAAGTAGAATTGCCTTAAGTGTATAGATTTTCCCCTAGTGAAGGAAAGAAAAAAGGCTTTCTTAAATTGATAGAAAAGGGAAATAAACCATTTAAGACAATTCACATTGACCATTATAAACATCTGAATACAACAAAAGTGAGATTTAATCAAATTTTTGTGATTTTTGATGCTTTCAGTAAATTTATAACTTTGTATGCTGTACGGTCAGTAAAAACAAAAGAAGTGTGCTTAAAACTTAATGAGTATTTCTCTTACAGTAGTAAACTCATTCGTATAATAACCGATTGTGGAACATGTTACACCTCTGAAATGTTTAGAGTCCAACGGTATACAACACATCCTAATTGTTGCTGGCTCCCCACAATCCAATGGACAGGTTGAGCGATATAATAGGACTATAAAAGCTATGTTACCCAAGTCATTTAACGAAAGAGGCAAAAATTGGAACAATCTTTTGGATGAAGTACAATTTTGCATCAATAATACTTATAAGTTATAACCGGCCAATTAAAAGCACTCCTAGTAAAATTCTGTTTGGTATGAATCAACATGGTAATTCTAATGACTATCTCGGATTAATCTTAGAGACAGAACAATATCAAGAAGACGAGGATAAGAACTTAATGAAATTAGGAACTCTGCTCAAGAAAATATTCTTAATGYACAATTAAAGAATAAGTTATATTATGATAAGTCTCACAAATCACCTAAGAGTTGTGTAATTGGGGACTTTAAAATATATAATGATAAAAATGTTGATGCAACCCCTGGGGTAAGCAAAAAACATATCCCCAAATTCAAAGCGCCATATGAGATCAAAAACATTCTCCTCAATGATAGGTATGTTATCCAAGATATTCCTGGATTTCAGGTAACTCAAATTCGATTTAATTCTGTGTATGAAGCTAGGAATATGAAACCGTGGATCAAAATGTGATTCTATTATTTATCTATAATGTATTATGTGTTTTTAAAATTTTTTTTTATTAGGCATATTAGTTGTTATTATTAAATATTATATTATTTGTATGTTAGTTACACAATAATTTTTTTTGTAAATTTTATTTTCTTATTTTTCATCTTTGTAAAGAAATGGAGGCCACTTCTTGATCAGGACGGCTGAGTTGTAGTAATATGTTATCATATCTAACGTTATCGTGATACGTAGCTATGGGTAGGCATCAGTGTGTCAGCCTGTACTGTATTCAGTCTTCTGTCAACTAGTGTTCAGAGTGTTCAGTATGTGTGTGTGACAGTGTGTGCCACGTACTGTATCAATATTAAATTCCTTAATTATTTCAAATTATAATTGTAAATTTTAATTTGATGTAAAACATATTAAAACCAGTGCACCGTTAAATCACGACATTCTTGTATTAAGTATCTACTAATCCCATCTTGGTTCTCTTCCTACATTACTAAAGTTCTTTTCAATTTAAATCACAAAAACAAATGTTATTATAACTGTAACATCATGATTATTTTCTTCCAAAAGTTAACTTACATTTTTTATTAATAAATAAGGAACAAATGCACTTTACCACCCCATGCAAATTTTTCGATTTTTTTTTTTTGAAACTTACTAATGTTTACTATTTAAGAACAATGGTACAATCAGAATTTGTCGGTCGGACTTAGTTTCAAAGTTTTGGCCTTTGAAAGTTCTAGATTTTGCGTTTTTTACGCATACCTACAATAACGCTATAATTAATAAGTTCAGAGAACAAGTTGGAGTATGACAATAGTTTAGTCGCTCCCTACGCCTGCCGGCTTCGGTCGCCGAACTCGAGATCCTATGGACATATAATTAAATTAAAATTTTCAAAATTTTGTAGTGTGAGTTAAGTGATCCTCTCAATTCTTATATTGTCGTGCAGCTGCAGAATTGGCTCCTTATTCCTAAAKGAGGTGACTATTTATGTCCTAAATAGGGCTAAAATACAACTAGTAGCACGAAGTCATGTGATAGATGCATATTTTTGGAGGTAAATTAGATATACACGTATTGAATGACAGTATTGTCAGTACCTACCATAGGAAAAAATTCTATAATATTAGGTATTTATGTATCAAATATATTATATTTATAGATGCCGTGAAAAGTACACGGATCGACATAAAAAGAAAAGTAGAAGTGAATACGAGGTTTCAATAAGAAAAAAAAATGTTTCTCAAATTCACTCATGTCAATTGCCAAAATTATTTTGTTACTTATCTATGGATAAAACTAATCAACCAGATGTTCATTATAGAAGAATTGAGCATAACTCGATGTACGATGGTTGATTGGGCTAATTTTGTCGTGAGGTTACTTTCGATCACATGCTTTAAAAAAATCTAAAATCGGAGGTGACTTCATTGAAGTCAAAATTTATGAGAGTAAATTTGGCAAGCGCAAATACCATAGAGGTCATCATGTGGAAGGCCGGTGGGTATTTGGAGGCATTGAAAGGGTACTAATAGATGCTTTTAGTTCCCATTGAAAAAAGAGATAAGGAAACGTTACTTAAAATTATTAAAGATTGGATTCTACCAAATACTACAATAATTTCTGATTGCTGGAAAGTATGTATTTTAAAAATAATTATAAATAAAAATTAATTCATTAGGTACCATTTTTAGGCATATGATTGTTTGAATGATGAAGGTTATAAGCACTTTAAAGTCAACCACAGCATTAACTTTAAAGATCCAGATACCAACCAGCACACAAACACGATCAAAGGAGTATGGCGATATGCGAAATATTCACTGCCTCAATATCATAAAAAAAATTTTTATAGCTGGAAACTTCTTTCTGGCTTTCTAAATTTATGTTTTTCAAATAATGTAAGGCATTAAATTTCGATCCGTTCACTGAGTTCTTAAGAATTGCAGGTAGTCTTTACAACCCAATTACGGCCGCATCCGTTGATAATGATAAAAATTATAATGAGGGTGAACTAAGTTASAACGATACATATATTTAGATGTTATATATATTTTAATAAACACTTATTGATAAACTAATTTTATTATTAAAAGTAATTGTGTGTTCTTATATTTTTAAATTCTAAATTAAATGATTGTATCATAAGTAACAACAAAAACCTAGGCTTAAAAATAAGTAAAAGGTACTTATTAGTCATTAATAATTTCATTAATAGGTATATGTCTCAAGAATAAAAAAAAAAATCGCGGAAGACATGACAACGTAGCGTTGCGCTCATATGTAAAAAAACGCAAAATCGCAAATTTCGAAAACTGATTAATAACATACTTCAAACTAAGTTAGACTGACAAATACTGACTGCACTATCGTTTTTAACATGTTAGAATACTTAAGTATCAAAAGGGAAAAAGTAAGAAAATCGTGGTAAATTATAGCGTATTGGGTGTGCATAAAAAACGCAAAATCGCGAACTTCTAAAGGCCATAACTTTGAAACTAAGTCTGACCGACAAATTGTAATTGCACCATTGTTCTTAATTATTAAATATTAGTAAGTTCCAAAAACAATATCGAAAAATTTGCATGTGGTGGTAAAGTGCATTTTTGCCATAATTAATATATATTGGTAAATATAAAAATCTATTTATAACTAGGTAATTTTTTATCAGGATTATAAAACGAATTATCTGATTCCATATTCTATATATAGTATATCTTATATATCCCTTTGCATTACCTAAAGTTTAAACCACAGATATTTTGTATACATTTTGAAATAAAATAATCATTTTATTGGTTATTATGTTTAGATTTTTTAACAGCAAAGYAAAAACAAACTCATCAGAAGATTCAAGTTGTTCTAAAAAATTTACTCCAAGAGAAGTCGCTTCTTTTGAAACGTTAGTTACCAAATATAACATAAACTTATATAATTATTATATTATGATAATAAGTAATTCATTTTTTTGTTTAGAGATGCAACTAAAGTTCAACCAAATTCAATACAATTGTCTCAAAGTGAAACACCAATTTTAAATAGGCTTGTGACTCAAAATTCTTCTAGTTATGATGCAGAACAACAAAGTGAACAAAGTGCAAGTAAAAATTGTCAACTCACTCAAAAAATGCTTTTACGGTAAGATTTGTTTCAATAAATGAACTAAAATATGATAATAAACGTAATCAATACATTTCCTACCACATATTTATAATAGATATAATTTGGGTTAAATTTATGAGGGGAGGGGGCACCGTCCGTATTGCATGCCAAAAAAATAAATAAATATCCGAATTACATGCGATTTCTTAAAGGGGTCTGTCCGAATTGCATACCACCTCATAGAGAGGTTTGTCCGAATTGCACGCCGTGTATCAGATATAGTTTATTTATTAATTTATTATAAACTTATTTTTTTTTTTATTAAAGCCGCAACAACTAAGGTTATTGGCATATTATACAATGTAAACATTAAGTTAGGTGCTAGATTACATTATGAATAGTAAGTACAATGTACATATAGGTAAACTTATTATATTAACCATTAGGAATAACTTAAACTTTTTTTTGAACTTTTCTAATTTAAAAGAAAAACAGCATGTATAGAAACGCTCTATGATATGGTTGTAACAACTAACAACTGGTTAATTTCTAGATTGAAATATTTTAAACTTTAGTTTTATTTTGAACTGTATTTATCATAGTACCTATATTATAGTCTAAATCTTATATTATTATTATTATTTTTTATTTTAAAAACTGGACCAAATCGTATATTATTACTATAATTATTTATTTATAAAAACTGTTCCACTGCCATTCTTATAACAAAGGGTAATATAAAAAAATCGCTTGTCAAAAGTTTCAGACATAAAAACAAATAGGCCACTTAAAATCAAATTTAAGGATCCGAAAAATATAGAAAACCAGCT